CGTTCTGCAGAACCGAAAATGGCAACATCCTTTGTTGGTGATCGTTGATGCTTTTACTAAATATGTCTGGACTGAAGCTGTTGCCGACACTAGTGCAAAATGTGTCATAAAATGTCTAAACTTGTTAATTAAAATTTTTGGTGTACCGACTAGATTAATATCGGATAGAGTGAAGTGTTTTACGAGCGCAGAAATGACGAAGTTCTATAAAGAACAAAATATCAAACATATTTTAAATGCTATTGCTTGCCCTAAAAGTAATGGACAAGTCGAAAGGTTTAATGCTACCATTTTAAATGCGATGATGACGGCAATTGGTGATGAACACGACGCTTGGGAAACGAAAGTTACGGAAGTGCAACATAGTATAAACGGGACACTGAACGCTACAACAGGCTACGCGCCTGCTGATCTTTTATACGGTTTTAGACCATGGCTTAAATTCGATATTAATGTGAATGATAACGAGCAGGTAGATAGGCAAGGTTATTTAAAACTGGTGCGCGAAAAAACTGCAAACAATATAATTAAAAGTGTCAGTGCAATGAAAAGACGCTACGATAAAAATCGTAAACCAGCGGTCATCTATGAGGTTGGTGATATGGTCATGATTGAAAGGACGCCAATCGTGAAGGGGCTTGCGAGCGGTAAGCTGGTCCAGAGGTACATTGGTCCTGTAAGAGTACAACAAGTTCTCTCCAATGACCGATATCAAGGTCAAAGTGTGTCCAAAGATAGAAGACGTTTTAGAGGTGTGGTTTCGAGCGACAAAATGAAGCTCTTTAGACCACAAACAACTGATTAGAGGTGAGATATTTAATTCTCATTTTCATAATGACATTCTGGCATATTAATATTATTCGTATTATCATATTTATTGTTTTTTTTTTATGTATTAGAGATTTACTAGAATACTAGTGAGCATGTCGGTGCACAAGCACAAGGCGGGTGATGCCTGTGTACTACCAATTTTGTTTTGAGTAATGTTAAAGATAAGTATACAAGGTGGGTGATGCCTGTGTACTACTGATTTTATATTGAGTAATGTTGAAATTGAGTATACAAGGTGGGTGATGTCTGTGTACTACTGATTTTATATTGAGTAATGTTGAAGTAGAGTACACAAGGTGGGTGATGCCTGTGTATACCTTTGAATTTGTATTGAGGACACTGAAATGAAGTAAATAAGATGAGTGATGCGTACGTGCACTATTAGTAGTTGAATATAGTGGAAGTTGAGTGCACAAGGAAGTTGAAACCTGTGTGCTTTTGAATATCTTTTTTGTTTGTTTGTTTTGGTAAAAATATAATTTTGTAGTTAGCAAAGTTCTTGTCGAGTCCCCGACGTGTGTGCACTCTGAGAACAAATCTTGTTGAGTCCATTAGATCACAGATATTTTTGCATACTCCAAGTAGTCTTCTTGTCGAGTCCCCGACGTGTGTGCACTCTGAGAATAAATCTTGTAGAGTCCATTAGATCACAGATATCTTTTGCGCACTCCAAGTAATCTTCTTGTCGAGTCCCCGACGTGCACTCTGAGAATAAACTTTGTTGAGTCCATTAGATCATCTTTTGCGCACTCCAAGTAATCTTCTTGTCGAGTCCCCGATGTGTGTGCACTTTGAGATAGGGTAGGCTTGTTGAGTCCATTAGGATATGAGTATCATTTGCGCACTCCAAGTGATTTTCTTGTCGAGTCCCCGACGTGTGTGCACTCTGAGAATGTTTGTCCATTTGTTTATGTATTTTTTGCGTACTCGAAGAAGTACATTTTCGTTTTATTTTCTCTTCTAGGAAATTTTTGCCCTGTTGTTGATATCATTGATACTGTGTAGAGTAATTTAGTTTCAGGTATATGCCTCAGTGGGTGTGGTCCGGGACGGACCAAGTCAGGACGGCCGAATGTTAAGGAATATTCATCTCCAGACAGGGCGAACTGAAGGCACTCTGTATATCGGCGTTTTATAAACAAACGCCGGATAACCAAAACAAACGGAGATCAAGCGTTCGGGCGACACCCGGTGAAGAGGCATAAGATAGGATTATTCAGATATGAATGTTTGAAGCGTTCACATACAGTCTGTTCACTTCCTATAAATTTTTGTTAATAAAAGTGTATAATCGATTTATTAATTAACATTTATTTTAACAATAT